GGGACACAGCTGAGCCGGGGTGCTTTCTTCTTCTACCACTACTACTACTACCACTACGACTACGACTGCTACGACTGCTACTGCTACTGCTACTGCTACTGCTACTGCTACTGCTACTACTACTACCACCACCACCACTACGACTACGACTACTACTACTGCTACTGCTACTACACTTCTGCCACGGCTACCACTACCACTACCGCTACTACAACCACGACGATTCTTACGACTACACCCACGGGGGGTTCGGGAGACAGGGGTGACACCGAATCCCCTTTCTTCTGAAGGAGCATCGTCTGAGGCCGCAGTCCGGCTTCTGTATCTCGCTGAGAAAGCTCAATGACGAGCTTAACATGCTTGTGAGTATGGCGTCACGTCATTGCTGTAAGCACAGATTACCATGGAAAAGAGGGGGAGGCCGAGGGGGGTCGGGGCGCGGGCAAAGACATGACCTCTGACGCTCTCAGTAAGTGCCGGTGGACAACAGGAAGCTGCGCGGACACACGGAGAAGAAAACAAAAAGAGCAAATCAAAGTCAAGCCGATGCCGCTGAAGCAACAGTGACACCGATTGCGTTCTGTATTCACCAGCGGCAAGGCAGCAGATCGGGGCTGGCTGCAAGTCTTCATCTGTCTAGCGCCGAACCGATTACCGACGACAAGATCAGCGATGCCCGCCTGGTCTATCTGAGCACTGTCTTCCAGAATTCTGCGCAGTTCGGACTGTTTCGTGGAGAGGCTCTGAACCTGTCACATGGTGCCAATGGTGTCTGAAACAGAATGCACGCCTTCGGAGCAAGCGAAAAGCAATGGCACCTTCCGCATCCGAGGATTGGCGGCTGCATAACCTCCGTTCTGCGACCGTTCGAGCGGGAGACTGTGCACCTCACATGTGCGTGCACAGCTGACAAAACCACGTCTCGTTTATAAGTCACGACAATGACAATGGAAGCGACATGCAGCGACGCTGCCACAAGAGGATGCCTTGTGCATCGGGACCTGCTCATCTTCGTCTTCCTCCTCCTCTGAATCGGAAGCATGTGATGAAGAGCTGGAGCTTGAAGTCTTGCCTTGGGTTGCACGTACAAAATACACTCGCAGGAGCACAAGCAAACAAAAAGCCGATCACAGCATGGGACAAACTTCGTGCAGAGACGTGGCCTGCATCAACCAGCTGCCCTGCTGCCAGCAACGGCTGGCTCCAGCTTGAATACCGACGACGGGCCTGGCAAGTGTGTCTAAGCCCGCTGAGTAGATGCGAGACTCCGCAGAACCTCGTCAAACCGGCTTTTCTCTCGACCTTTCTTGGACCTCAGAATCCTTTGAATTCCGATCTTGGACACATGCCGGCGGAGCTTTGGCTCAGGCTTTTGTTTGGAAAGATGTGTGGCTCAGTCCAGTTTCGAGGCACTAGCTAGTCGGGAATTCCACTGTGCAGTGGTCTCTTTTGCAGCAAGCTACTCGAGCCGGGACATGTGGGATGTTGCCATAAGCCGACAGCAAACAGCAAAAAGCGCGAACCAAAAACAGCATTAGCCAGAAGCGAAAAACCGACCGATTGAAGCAAGAAGATGCAAAAGCCGAAGCATCAGGGTCCAAGGGGGCAAGGTCTTAGACAAACTGGCCCTCTTGCAGATGCCACACACAAGCTCCCATCGACAGCTCCCTGTGCTTTGCCTGGCGAGTTTCCGGAAAGGACGCCATGGCAAGGTGCCATCGTCGAAGTGCCACACAGCGGCTGGCACTGCTACCACTTCTAATGCTTCTCTGCGGGTGGCCAGAATACTGCACCAATTCTTCAAGTGCGGGGCTGGCGTTCCTAATGTCATTCTCACAATGACCATGACAAACATCTTTTGAAGAGTAATTGAAGAGTACCGTGCGAACGCTCTTACACAGCGGCTACAATGAAAAGCTTCGACAGGCAGCAATGTCTTCGCTTATTGCAGGCTCAATGCCGGCAACGACACGGCCTGAACATGGATTTGCTGCGTTTGTCGCGACTAGCTGCGATCATCTTTCGATCACCGTCAGCTCGTCCATCTTGGTGTCGATGGCTATGCATTTGCCAACCAGGAAACCGAGTCCTTAAATTCCAAATGCTTAAGAAGAGATTCAGTCCTGCCGCAAGGCTGAGACCAAAACCCAGCAGCATGACGTCCTGAAGCACGCTCAGTGTTGACGAGCTGCAGTTTTGGGATCGCGAGCAGGCAGGGAAAGTTCCTTCTATTTACCTGTGTGTCAGAAGGATCCTGAAAGTGGTCTGCTCTGGTTTAGTTCACTTGCTACACGAAAGGAGATTCAAAATGGCCAGGCGATGCTGGTCGAGTGATGCAGTCCTCGAAAGGTGGCTTTTCCTGAATTCCTCCAGGTACCTGATCTTGGGAACAGCAAGAAAAAGGAAATAAAATCTCGCAGCTGTGCATTCTGAAACGTGTAATCTATGTTTTCTCACTGCACGTTTTGGAAAGCGTACCTTGTAGTTGGCAAGCGACTCTGCCGAGCCCACGCCCGCCTTCCACAAGTCGAAAGAAACAGGCTGTTGTTCTGACAAACAAACAGCTCTTGCAATGCACGAGGCACCCAAGCCATCTCGCGGATGGGTGTGACGAGGTCCAGCCCTATCCCATAGCCTGACTGCCACAGCAAAAAGCAAGATAAGCAAAGAGGAACCGCCAAGCAAGCATGCACGCCACATCACGCCACTCAAATGTCACGGATGCATGCGAAGCGCTACAGTCCAGTGGTCAGCTGGCCCACCTAGCCAACGTACACATGTTGCTGACGGTCTAAGAGTCTAAGAAGCCAGCTTGGATGTTTGCCCATGTACCTGATCCAGAATAGATGCTGAAGTCGAGTCCGTCTCACCCCCATGCGGAGTCCGTCTCACCCCCATGCGAGACTGGCTCAGGCAAGGATTGGGCGTGTGCCAGAGACTTCTGCATTTTCCGCTGCCAGCCACCGGACCCAATGAAAACGGCTCTTCGGTCCTGGAAACGACTATCGGACTATCGCTCCAGGACCACCCGACAGGTTTCCCCAAAGGGCGGCCACATGCTGGGTCTGAGTTCTGGCAACTGGGAACCAGATAGAACAAGCATGCGAGAATTGAACACTTATGTGTCGTGGTCTACCTGGCGTTGGCACGTACACCGAGAGAGCGCAAGGCACTTCCATATTGCACATACTGAAACCGAACCGAAGGAGCCTTCGTGTATCGGTGGAGCAAGATTCGCATTTTGCTCGTGCACTGGCACGTGGGACTTCGACCTTGTCGATCAAATCCAGCCCGACATCCGCAAAGGAGAACGACTGAGCTCTCCTTTCGCGAGCTAGGGAGATGAGACACTGTTTAATAGATAGGCTGGCTCTTCTACTGTACCTTGCCCCACTCCATGTTTGAGCTTTTTTATCTGAACAACAGATCGGCGAGGTAAAAGATGAATGAGTGGCGCTTTCACGTTCGTTGTATGTTTGTAAATGATGAATGTGCCAGCCCTGACACTGCAAAACAACATCGGAAACCTTAAACGTGAAGGCGATCTCTACAAGCCTGATTTCCATTTGCCCCTTCTCCTCCAACCCGACGCCCCTTATCAAAACCAAACAAACTGAAAAAAAATGATTCAAGACGGAGCTGGCAAAAAAGCGGAAAGCTCATCCTGTCCTGTGATGCGGACGCAACTTGTTTGCACTCTGGGAGCTGCGGAGATTGGGGGGGTGATTCTCTGCAACGGAGGAGAGGCATTTCATTACTGTACTGTGATAGAGTTAAACAGTTGCCTGGTGTCAACGAGGGGTCTGTTACGGGGGCATTGCTACCCAACTGTCGCAACAGGACAGGGTCGCTTCACTACCGAAGGGGCATCCCTCGCAAACGAAGCAGCCGCAAAAGAAAGACAGTGTGACGGTCAGTGGTGAGTCACTGTCCGTGCCTATCCCTGCTCCACGCCCAATTCCACCCGCCATCTCACCAGCCGCGCCCTCCGGTTCCAAGCCAATTGAATCCCACGGAGCATTGCCAAGACACAAACGAGGAAGTGAATCAAAGAGGAAAAAACACACTGAGCCTCAACAGCAGCATCGCAAATACAGGAATTGAAAGTTGGCAAGTGCAAGTGGGAAAGAGTTGACAGACGTGGCAGGCTTGGCTGTGAGAACAGTCCCAGGTCACATAGCAAAGGATGCATCAGACCCCGACGTGCTGTCGAAGACAACCTGCAGCTGGCGAGCCTGTGAGGCTACTGTCGTCACCACGGTCCCTAGTTATGGTGGGCAGTCTTTGCAGCTCAGGCCTGAGACCAGCCCACGCCGCGCTGTGCAACGCTCTGCGCCATTAGCCAGTATGACTCATACAGGCCTCAGCCAAGGGCGATAGAGCCGCGCCACGCGAGTCTACACACGAGTGACAGCCTGGCGTCATAGAAACACCAGTAGTTCCCGTGTCGAAGATGGCCAACACCTGTGTTGAGAGTCGGCAGAAATCTTGAACATGCCGGTTCCACCTTGCCTTGCGAGGGCTTGAGCCATTGCTGGAGAGCACAACCTGAGCTGCCATTGGCTTACAGCTGGATCCACGTCATGGCTCTGCATGTGGTGCCCACACAGAAATCCAAGTTCCGGGCCTCACCGCCCACACGCAATGTCTTCACGCCCGCACAGTAATGCTTTACAGGATCTCCCCACCTGGCTCGAAGCCAGATCAAGCTCAGCCAGCCCATTGCAGCATTGCGGAATGTTCGGCGACGTACGTAATACGGCGGAGATCAAGTCATAACAAATGACACGGCCAAGTATGGCTTTTGCCTCCGCGGGTCCGCGAGCTTGATTCGAGGGCCTCGCAAGCGATCTCGCGGCAAGAGGTCAAAGTGAAGCAACTCTTTCAGGATCTCTCCGTCATGGATCCGATTCCCCCAAGCTCAATCAAAAAACATTAAAGAAAAAATGCATGCCTTTCCCGGTGTTTGTCTCCTGGTTTGTCTCCTTTCTTTGTCAAACTTCAGCGATCTCCACTACGGCGGCGTGAGAAAACTGCGCACGCGAATCGTAGTAAGACTGTCTGTAAGACTTCTGAGCGCCTGCGCTTCCTCCCTTTCTTCCTAGTGGGAAACTGTAAGACCCCAGGCTGGAACTCCAGAACTCATGACTTGGATGAGGACCTCGATTCAAAAGTAAGACCGAAATGTTTCCGGATTGAACTGATGGGGCAAGCTCAGGCGGCTCACAGGGCCTGATCCTAGAGCATTAACTTTTTGCAAAAACTCGAGACTTTAGACAAAGGAATACGAGACCTATGCTGGCAAAGGGATGAGTCTTGCCATGCGGAGATCTTATGTTCAAAAGCCATGCGGCTGCGAATGCTAGGGCTCTTTTCCCGAGGCTTCGAAACTCAGATTTGCTCATGCTGCCCGCTTCTTGCGCCGCATCAAAACATCTAAAAACTCCGGCAGCCTTCGTTGGGACATGTTCCACACAAACCGATGCAAACAGGCACTGCATCAGGATGATTTTTGGTGCCAATCTACACAGTTCGTTAAAAGGAACAAATCTCGAAAGCCATCGTGTCTGAAGTGCATTCAGGCCGGCCTGCTGACTTCTTGCACATGTCGTTTGCAGAGTGCAGCGCTACTCTGTTCCAGCAATATTCTCTAACCCACAAACTTCCAGGGAAAAGTTTCATGGGAGTGCCACACCTGCAACGCCTCGCCATGAGTGTCCGAACCTTTCTGCTTTGGTGCTTGTCATGTTTGCATAAGTGTTCACAACGAGGAAACCAGTCTGGCAGCCACCTTAGCTCGGCCTTCCTTCCTTCCTTCCTTCCTTCCTTCCTTCCTTCCTTTCGCGGGGAAAGGTCTAGGGAACTAGAACCGCGCCTAGGCGCCCCCCTTCTCTAATTCGGTTGTTAGAGAAAGAGGCATTGAAGCGGTCAGTGCAAGGAAGTGGGCCCTAGGGCTTGTTCGCGTGGCGGAGTGTGGCTGCTGGTGATCTCCCAAACCCTGAACACTGGCCTGCCTCCCGGCAGCATCTCCGCGCCCTGTAAGGCCAATCCCTAAGTCCTTCCAGCAGCCAAGCTTCCCCCACTAGAACGTTACGCGCGGTCCCCCGGAGCATAGCAACAACGGTTCAAGACAAGACCAACATCAAAAGGACTCTCTCTCTCTCTCTCTCTCTCTCTTCTCAGAACATGCTGGAGACACTGCGAAAGGAGAGGTGTCCAGCCAAATTGGAGTCTCCTTCATTACTTCTCGCCTACTCCATTGCGATGCCGCGGGTAAGGTCATCTTGCCCCGAAATGAACACATCCAAGCACTCTTACTGCAGCAAATGAGCTTCAAGCCACACATCTTGGGCCTTTCGAAGTGAATGCAGATGCTTCCGACAACCGCAGCGTCTCTCTGCCAGGTTCTCGAAGATCAACCACGAGGTACTCGAGAGCTGAGGCCGTTCTACAACATGTGCTGCGAGAGTCTCTAACACTCATTTTCTATGGAATCGGGTAGGCTAAGAGTGTTGGCATACACCGAAGTCAAGCGATAATGTGAATGTCTCCTTGTGGCAAGATGCCGAAGCAGGGGCACAAAGCCACATGGAGCGAAAGGCAAATGAGGCTTCAACCCGGTGGTCTGGAGTACAACACAGCTAAACTAAAGGAACGGGCAGCTCTGGAGGCAGGCCCATACAGGCCCATGGCACTCCGATTGCAAGCTCAACCCTGCCGGGGGAATATGAGGGTTCTAGCTTCTGGCATGCAAGACACGAGTACACGAATCAATATTAAACAATCGATTCGTCCAGCCTGTATTCGGTAACACCTTAAATATCACTCGACGCTTCAAAGTTTATGAATGCCGTGATCGTGGCATCGTGGCCGAATGCATGGGGTGCTCTGAAAAACATCAGGATATACAGTATGCTGGTCGCAGCAGAACTCCTGAACACCTTGGCATATTTCCGTATGCCATCCGTGGAAAGTGATAGCTCCTAGAGGTAGCTGACTAGCACCCCCACACCCCCAACGGAACAGGGCAAAAGGACAGGTCGAGCCCAAACTTAGCTTATCGGCCACTCCTGAAAGGGCGTCTGTTCCAGAAAGGATGTCTTTATGTCTGACCTGGGACAGGAGATCAAGTGTGACATGCCGAAGCTGTGACAGCAAGGCCCAGACATGTGATCTCGAATCAGACCCAAGAACACTGCCTTGCCTGTTCCTCCAAAGCCAATGATGCGACCCTGCAGGGAAGAGGCCGGATGCAAGGCAGCATTCCGAGCAATCCTCACATGCCGCAGTCGAAGCGCTGCCTGCACACCAAATCTCATCTCTCGCAGCTCCACAGATGCGTCCGTCGCATCCGGGAAAGCAAGCGTGCCGTTCTTGCGCCAGGCAACCTCCCAATTCCCACTGGGGCAGGCCATCGAGTGAAGGTTGTAGCAGGAACCAGCGCGCGACGTAACGCGAACCACGGTTCAGGAACCGACCAGGACGTGACAGGAACCAGAGGGACATGGAACTGGCACTGGGTCGGGGCTAGTAACATCTAGTAACTGCAACCAGTGGGAGCTGTAACGGAAACCAATCGGACAACGAAACCGAAACCGGGTTTTCGCTTGAGACTTTAAGTTACAGCGTTTAGTCTTAGAGAGCCTTTCGAACTCCTCTATAAAACAAAGCCTTTCAAAGCCCGTATACAGCCCTTAGAAGCCTTTCTTAAGCTCTAATACGCCCTCAGAAACCCATAAAAAGCCTTTACAACTCGAATAAAACCCTTGTAAGCTTACACGCACTTTATAAGTCCAAAAGGCCTTGTAAGCCCTTGTATCAGAAACCCTCGGAAGCCCTGTATAAGTCCTTTATAAACCGTGAAATCCCTTTAGAAACCCTTAGCCCTTGTAAACTTTAGAAATCCAAGAACCTCTTCACCCTAAACCCTGAACCCCTAACCCTTAAACTTAAACCGACCCTGAAACCAGAAAGCAAAAACCTTACCTCTTCTCTTCCTCCATTCCTCTTCCGCTCCTCTTCCCTCTCCGGTTGCTCTCCTCCTCTCCTCTCCCTAAATCCTCAACCGTAAAACCAGAAATCCACCCCCCTCCAAAACTCCTCAGTAACGCATTTCCCTAAACCCTAACCCACCCTGAACCCTAATTCCTTATCCTTATTGAAACCATGGGCTTTACCGGGATTTGACTACAACTCTCAGTAGAATCCATGGTTTCTTGTGGTCTTGCTGCAAAACTATGGTTAACCAATACTCTAAATCTTAGAGGCCCTAAACCCTGAACCCTCAAGTGCGTAATAAGAGGCGAGTGCAAGCCACATGTTAGAGAGACAGTTCCTGTCACAAGCCCCCCTGGTTGCTGTTACAGGCCTGCCCCAGTTCCTGTTACAGCGGGCGTGGTTTCTGAAACAGTTTCGAGCCAGTTTCCTGTTACAACCCCCTGGTTTAGAATACTGCGTTTAGCAGGGCATCGCGTGCCTCTCCTTGCAAGTCTCACAAGCCTACCTGCCTCCACGATTCCAGAAGCATAACCTTCCGTGCTGTCAGCTTCGCCACTTGGGGCACCCTGCCCCTCGAAGCAACCCACCTCAAAGCAGCGCAGCGAGTACCATGCACATCCGCGCACTGTGCAGTCTGCACTTTCACATGATGTGCAAGCACAGAGTGCAGGCGTACTCGCATGGGTCGTGTACAAGCCGAGAGCCGCGCCTCGGCGCAATAACTTTCGCAATCCTTTCGCAAGCACTTTGCCACAAGCAGAAAGGGCGACCCCGTGTCTGCCACGGCTTTGATCCTGGCACACAGAAGGCGTTCCCATGCCACACCACATTGCAATCCATATTTGACCTCTTCTTCCCCATCCGCCCTTTCTCACCTTTGGACGGACAAAAGAACGTCGACTTCGACTCTCCTGTCTCTGCCCCACATCTTCGCCTTCAGAAGCCAACGTGAACCACAACGAGAATCCTCCTGCTGCCCAATGCAGTGGCATTTCGACCTGCGGTCACTGCAAGCACGGCGGCGCAACGCGGCGCAGCTACGCAGGAATTGAATGTGGCCTCCCAGGAGCCGTCGCGTCCGCGTGCCCTGGAAGGCCACCTGCTTCGCCATGCTTCGCCATGATCCGAGGATATCCGAGGCCCTCGCCCTCTAGGGTCCTCTGAGCCCTTGGCTGGCCCAATGCAGAAAAGCCAATCATGCCCACCACGCTGCGCCGGCGAAACGGAGATGATGGATTCAGAATGTCAACAGAGATGACCTTCCTGCCTGGGAATGAATCAATGAAGCCACATCAGAGCGAAAGCTTCATCGAGCATGCTTGTCTGCTGTTCGTGCGGCCAAGCCACATCGATGCCCCCAAACCCTGCCACATGCATGCTAATCCACATGGTCCAAAACTTCGCAAGATAAACAAAGGTCGGCATGTCAACGCTTTCTGACCAGCTGCAGAGCACGAACATGAGTACCAACAAGCTGATGCTAAAGCGGTGGCCCCAAGATGCCTTCAGCCATCTACCAAAGAAACAGAAGAGAGCATGTCCCAAGGACAAGTGACAACTTGCTCGACAGGCTCCGGGGCGCCTTTTTGGCATCCTGCTGGAAATCTGCGATGTTCCATGCACCTGACACGTGGTGCATGGATCCATTCTCTCGAAAGTTGAAGTTGCAACGGAACCTTCAGGCTTGACGCAGACGGAGCAGGAATCATCTTGCAAATTCCCCTGCAGCAATCCTGGCTTTCCGCCTAAGATCATTGCATGCTGCTGTGCACGGGGCATCAGATTGTTGAGATAATGTGACGTAGCTTGAACAAGTCTCCATGGCATCTCGAGCCGAAGACACGCGCCCTGTTGCATTGCATCAGCAGAACTATAAGACTAAGGCTCTAAGACCTAGGCTCCATCCCCTGCAGAGGTCCGGGCACTTTCACCCGACGCTTGGCACTCACAAAAGCCTACAACCGTCGCCGGACACTCCAGATGATGCAGACGGAAAGCAGTGAAATGCTAAATTTCAAGCATTTCTGAAATGGCCTTCCCCTGAATTTGCTGCACACGGAATTGATCTGCTCTGCACAGCCCAAGAATTTCCGTGACTTGCGATTTTCGCACGTGCACCACTCCAGTGTTCTGCTGCTAAAGTCGGCGACGCTACTGTGGAATAAGTGTTATAGCCAGAAACGAGGCGCACACCTTCCGGGGTTGAAGTTTTTGTCCAAACTGGCCCGATGTACTGAGACGGGGACTGGTTGCCTGATCTAGGCCGTCTGAAGAGCGGAGATAAGGATCGCTGTCGTGGGGCCGATGCCAATGTCCCGACGAACATGGTAGAAATATCACTGGACTCCGTGCATCGAACAGTCAAGGACGAGCCAGTGTTAGTCAAGGCATGAGGGAACGAAGATCGTGGCGTTCGTGTGGAATTTTCCTGGAGCCCCCGAACCGTGCTGATCCTGTCGCTCGGCAGGGCACTCCGGTAAGGTTCCTGCTGATTCGTTGACTCATTGTGGCTCCCGGCTTGTGGCCGATTTTGAAGCCAGCCTTGCTGTTGCGGCGCTTGCTTAAGACTCGAGCCGATAACTTGCTGTGGTGGCCCTATCTTGCAGCCTGGCTTCTGCTCATGAGGCAGATGCTGCCTGTTCTGGACGTGCTGGGGCTGCAAAATCCGCGCTTGCTGCTTTGGCAGTTCTGATGGCCGTTGTTGCGCCCTGCGCTGCTCATCATCCGCATTGCTGAGGAGGGTTAGCAGCGTTCGAACAAGCAGTACCATCTGTTCACAGACCTGGCTGTCTGCAAGCTGCATTGATGCACTTCCCATCTCTTCCAGTGTGCCACGTAGGTCGGAGAGTCGACCACTCAGAACTTTGTCCAAGCCGGCCTCGATGCACGAAGACTTCAAAACCATCCAGTTGCCTCCGCTGGAAAAGCATTTCATCAATGACGCCCAGAAAGTGGAAACATCTTCCCAATAGCGATACCATGCATTCTGCAGACTTCGGAAAGTCTGGAGAAGGTGACGGTGCTCTGCTGAACCCGTCAATTCAGCAGGAAGAAGTGGTGACATCTCCATGAACACCTGCGACGCCACGATGCCGCGCGTCACCACCCAAACCGAAGAAACCCTCTCAGTCTCAGCACGCCAGCTAGTCAGCTAGTCTCGGCCCTTATCAGTACAAAGCAACTTTTACTATCACACGTGCACCTCGGACAGCAACATGCATGGGCGCCTGCTCGCCAAACCCAAACAACACACAGCGGTGCAAAGATCCGACAAGTCTGACATGGGATGATGATCTGACATGTCAACTCCAGCGACATACAATGCTGATTAACCATACAACGACTGAAAGCCCGCCTGCAAGGCAGTGACACCCAACGCATGCAGATCAAGTCCAGTCCTGAGGCGTCGAGTGATGCCGCATTGACTGACATGCAGTGAGGGTGGCCGAGGCCCACTGCATCTCATCTCACTGCAACCAGCATGCTGGCAACATTTGCGAGTCGCAGCACGATAAAATGTCGAGAACACGTGGCACGCTCATTCAATGCATGTTGCTTGTTCTACGTTTCCTGTGAACCTTCAACGCCATAGCGTGCTGTGCGAAAGTACGAAAGTGGCTGGGACTGCCAATACTTGGCCTGGTCATCCCAACTATGGAAGGGTGAGTTGAGGCTGAGAAAAAGGCCATGCACGCGCATGCGCTGCAAACATTTGCAAAATATTGCAAAAAGCAGTATGAAAAAAAAACACTGGTATCAGCGAGGTCGACCGAGCAGCGCTCACAGGCGCACAGGGTACTAATATGTACTAAGTAATGATTGGCTAATGTGCTGTCAGTGTATTGCTGCCAGCGCCAGCTGCTCCCTAAGTGCAAGTACCCATACAACGTAGCGGAGGATACGCGCTTGCATGTTGCAGCTCGACCATCTGCGCAGTATGCTTGCAATTTCTGGGTTTAGTGCTTGCTCAAGCAATCGGCTAACTGTTTTCCAAAATGACACAAATCACGTAAGTACCAGATGTGTCGGTGCAACAACTCGCGCACGCACGTACACACACACACACACACGCACAGAGACGCGCGCAGCACTGCTTCCTTTGTTGCTCGTGTACGCGTAGCTACGAGATGCTACGAGAGCACCCACACTGATGCCGTGACTAGTGTCTCTTAAGGCAATATCCGTGAACTTACAATCACTGTTTGGCTGTAGCACGGGTGCATGGTGTGGCATTTAAGTATGCGTGTCGCCAGGGTAAACCGACTGCAGCCTGAAACCGAATCACTGTCAGAGTCGGAGAAAGAGATGCCAGCACGCACGCTACCAGTCTTTCAACTGTGTAAGGGTAATCTCTGAGGAACTGGCTGGTATTCGGCTCGCAAAGACGACCCTGAGCACCACTCTTGTGCACAGTGTTCATTCGCTATGTAGCATTCGCAAGCTGGGCCTGGATGCAGGTCCTGGCAGGGAGAGATTTTGAGCCCGGGATGGCGTGACATCGGCACACGGCCAAAACGAACGGCAGACCATCAGTCCTGTGGACCGCGCATGAACATGATCCACGATGACAGTGGCCAGTAACCTGGCCGTGAGTGCTCGGGTACTGAGACAAGCTGCACTGGCGGGGAAGGCAAGGTCGAACTTGATGTTTTTCGTTTCATTGTGGATCCTGATGCCTTCAGGTTTTTTCGCTCTGACGATGCCGACTTGGTTTTGAATGCAGGCAGCAGTGATTGTTCAAGGAATCCTTTGGTTTTCTACCGCCTGGTGTCTTTTTCAATTTGCGGTCTTCACCCGATAGGCAAGACAACTGCTTAGGAGCCCGGCGCGGGGTTCTCCGACACATGTTTACCCCGATTTCCTTGTGACCATAGTTTCTCTAGTGATGGGGATTGGGAGTTCATTAGTTTATTAAGCCTTACCTCGGTTCGTTGCCCCGATCCCACGATTCTACCGGCAACATTCTCCAGACTTTAGTTTCAGGTTCGCTATTTACAGGGCCAAGGCTCGCAAGCAGCGCAGATATCGCAAACTGACACTTGCCCGGCTTGTGCTGGCAAAGAGACTCATAAGAACGTGCTTTGTGAGTGCGACGCGTTCGCGAGTCATAGACAAACCTTGGGAGATGAGCCGCTGATGTCGGCTTTCAGGAAGAACTGTTGGCCTGATCTGTCGTTGCATGAAGTCGCGATTAAAGCATCCGGCTCGGAACCCATCTTTATTGATGGCAGCTGTTACTATCAGCAATGGAAAACCTGTGCAGTCAGCAGCATCTGCTGCAATCATCCCTGCCCAAAGGAATTCACCATTTCCCTTGCCTGGACAAAACTGCACATCACTGCGTGCAGAGATCGATGCAACTATTCCAACCGTGCACATGAGAACAGGCCCGATCTCAGTTGCGACTGCCTGTGCAACAGTATTGAGCCGCATTCAGGTGCTTCAGGCCCATTCTTGTGGCAGAACAATCGCACGAGAGTTTGACAATTCGATCTTTGGTGTCTCTTCTGCGACGTGTCTTTGGGTCACGAGGGCGAGGTCCGTTTCTTCAGGGTCAATGCCCAGGTAGCTAAGGGGGACTCCAGCAACCGGTGTCGTGGACTGAAGGGAATTTCGAAGCAGACGCAGCCGCTAAACAAGAGGTGCGTGAACGATTTCTTACACAGCTGTCTATGTTTAAGGCAGACATCGAAAAGCGGTCTGTGTTCAAAACCATCTTGTTCGCACTCTGGTCTTTAGGGCATTTAGGGCTCACACATCTCTTTTAGCTCTCTTAGATACGTTTGAACCGGTTGGGGATGCCTACAGGGGTCTCACGCTTTCATCCAAAACGCAATGTTTTTGCAAACCGGCCCTTCAACTCAGAACCCGCAAAATCTTATTGTCATGGATGTAATGTAAGAGTGGGTGAAGTCGAACGTTTGTTGCTCCCTCTGTCTCAATGCATTGCCTGTCCCTGGGAATGTCACCCAAACACTCCAACAGTTGTACTCTGCCTTTTCCCGCCAATTCCGTGCCCCAGGCCAATAATTGTTTTTCCAATCTTTCGAGTGCGAACACTTACAAAGCGTGGTCACGGGCAAGTGCCCTACCGGCCTCGCGATTTCGGCCTTTTTGGTCTGAAAATGTTGAAAGCCAACCATATCCTCATTACGACGGCCAATCGCCGCAGAAATCTCCACGTCTCTGAGTTGCCTCTTCCTGCGTCAAGCGAATACGTTTTTCGTGACCAAAACCTTGCTTCCCAATGTGATTCCCCCAGCCCACTGTAAACCCGACGATATACACTAACTTCTACACCATCCCATCATATTCACCTGCTGCAGGGCGCTAATTAAGCTCTTCCGGATTCCTGCTTGAACCTTGCATCGATGCCTGGGAGGCTCACATCCAGAGCATCGCAAAAAAGATAAGGTTTTGTCAATGTTTTCTACTGTTTGTTGCCTGACGGTGCTGCACGGTGCTGCCTGCGCAAAGCCTCACCTCCATGACAGGGTCGCACTTCCGTCTGGGAATAGTGTAAACCGCCTTAGAAGATGCATCGATTGTTGCTTTCCAGAGCTGCTTCACAGCCCATGTTGATGTCAGGTGAT